AATCCATCTGGTCATGGACTTTTGTTTGCTGCGAGTTTTTTTATTACTGCTTCAATTTCATTAGTTGTTATCGATCTATTCATGTTTTCTGATTCTGCTTTTGAAGAATGTATGCTTCTAGGAACTGCTCCGTTTCACTTAGGTTTCCAGTTCGTTGGCATATATTTGCTCATAATATTTTCTTACAATCCCTTGTATGATTGTTGGTTCAGTTGTTATATAGGCGCTTTCATTTCTCATTTTCTTTTTCTGGGTCCACCTCTTTGTTTCTTGGTGAATCTGGCTAAAGGTTCATCAATCTAATTTATCTTTTGAAAAAACCAGCTCTTGGTTTCATTGATCTTTTGTATTATTTTTTTAGTTTCTATGTCATTAATTTCTACTCTGATCTTTATTATTTCCTTTCTTCTACTTCCTCAGGTTTTTCTTGCTCTTCTCTTTCTAATTGTTTTAATTGTTTTCTTAGGTGGTTTATTAGAGCTTTTTCTGTTTTGAGAGATATGCCTGTCATGCTATGTACTTTCCCCTCAGGACTGTTTTCGCTGTGTCCAGGACTGTTTTCTGTTATTGTCTGTTTTTTTCGTTTGTTTGTTTGATTTCCAGTAAGTTTTTTATTTCTTCCTTGATCACATTGGTAACCCATTCATTGTTTAATAACCTCCTTTTTAGCCTCCATGTATTTGAATACTTTTCAGTCTTTTTATAGTGGTTGATTTCTATTGTCATGCTATTATGATATGATATGATGCTTGAACTTCTGGAGACTTGTCTTCTGCCTTAACATGTGGACTACTTTTGATAATGTTCCATGTGCACTTGAGTAGAATGTGTATTCTGCTTCTTTAGGATGAAATGTTCTGTTAATGTCAATTAAATCCATTAGATACAGTGTGTTATTTAAGGTCTCTGTTTCCCTGTTGATTTTTTGTTTTGATAATCTGTCTAATGATGACAGTGGGGTGTTTAAGTCCCCAATCTGATTGTGTTGCTATCTATCTCCCTCTTAAATTCCACTAAGAAATTTTTTATATATCTAGGTGCTCCAATATTGGTGCATATATATTTATAGGGTTAATTCCTCCTGTTGGATTTATCCCTTTAGCATTATGTAGTCACCTTCTTTGTTTCTTGTCATGGTGTTGATTTTGAAGTCTATTTTGTTTTAAGTAAGTACTGCTACTCTAGCTTTTTTTTCATTTCCGTTTGCATGGAATATATTTTTCCATCCCTTCACTTTCAGCTTCAGGGAGGACTCAGGGAGATCAACTGTAGACAGCATATATTTGGATCCTTTTGTTTTTTTATCCATTCAGCTACCTCATGTTTTTTGATTTGAGCAGTTAATCCATTTACATTTAAGGTTATTATTATTACTTTTTATATTATATCTTTATTGATTTCAGAGAAAGGAAAAGAGAGAGAGAGAGAGAGAGAGGGAGGGAGAGAGAGGGAGGGA